CTGAACAGTGCTCGGGCTGGAGGACAGATTCGGGCTTCTTTGTTGTTGCTATAATTTGGACTTGAAAATGGTATTTTTAGATCTTGGGCTCCATATGAAAGTTGTAGCCTATGTCTTACCTTTCCATCCATATAAATTAGACCTAAATCTGAGATCTATAGCTCCAGATATGACCCAATTACCGAACAGTGTTCCGGTTTGGATTGCTCTTTTCTAAGTTTGACCATCTCTTTATCCATGCAATTTAAGTTCTTCAAGTCATCAATCAATCCTTTCATTTATGTGATAGGCCTGCATTAAAAATAGACATTTACCACAAATTATAGGTATCTTATATTATTAGATACATTATTTCATCAATCAATCCTTTTATTTATGTGATAGGCCTGCATTTAAAATGAACATTTATCATAAATTAAGGTATCTTATATTATTAGATATATTATTATAAAACATGCTTTAGTTAAGGAGTTATTGATACTTCAAGTGCAAAATAATGATATAAAACCATGATAAAAATACACTTTTAAGTACTAATCAGAAGCTATAAAGGATAGTTGTCTTGAGTGAATTTAACAAGATTGAAGTTGACAAAGGTAATCAAAAGTGATGTTTGAGTAGAGGAGGGGTTGTTACAATAGAGATGGTGAGGGAGGAAGAAAGAATTTGATGTAAGTTAGGTGGGTTCTAATATAATATAATATGTTGGCTACTTAACCATAACACAAATTAAGGTTTTGTTTTTATATTATGAGATAACTGTATGCACAAGAGTAAAAGATAACCTAGGTAGTTTGAGATACACTTGAGTTAGTCTTACCTAATTCTTATTGCTTTCAGTAGTGGGGATGAGCTTGGTCTAATCGTTGTGTTGGGTTTGACTAGGTCTCTAGTAGAGCTCATACGAGAAAATTACTGATGTTCAGATGTAATAGTTTGTACATCCATCTTCCCTACATTTTTCCACTACAATCTGCAGCCCCTCTGCTGTTTCATTTCACTTGAATAAGCTATACATTTGTGTATCAACTGTGGATGATGTTCACAGAAGAAATATGTATATATCTAACATGTTTTCTGGTTGCCGTTATTAAAAACGCAGTATTTCTTGCCATATTTCTTTGCTATATATTTGCCTGCAGTATAGGCAATAGATTTTCATAGCTCTATAAAACGTCCCGAGGAAGTGTCGAGAGGGTAATGTGTTCAAAACAGTACATTTTATATGAATAATTTTACTTTAGGGTTGTAGAAACGAGTTGTTGACTGGGGAAAACCCGTGTTTGGGAAAGACTGGCCATTGATGCTTCGGCCAGAGATGGTTGTGGCCCGCATTCCCTTGGAAGTCCACAATGGTGAATGGTGTTTCGATCATCTTTATCTGCCGCTTTCAATTCAAAAAAGTGCTTGCTCACACCATAACTATGCTTCAGTTTTGCAAGGCTGTCCTTTGCTTTAACAATGACAATGTCTTAATGGAGAATTCAGCGGCCATCTGGATTGGACTTACCATATATTATTGAGGTCGTAGAGAAATTGATTGTTGAATGGATACCATAGCCGATAGATAATATACTGCTGTAATTTCTATGAATTTTGAAGAATCGGAAACTGAAATTTATTTTTTGAATTGATAGAATTATGCCAGCCAGTACATAAAATTATTACAAGACTCGGTTTATGTGGAATAAAATTGTCTAATGGAATTGGAAAATATATTTTACTTATTCTTAAAAGTGTTTTTTGTTAAGTAGAGGTCTTGTTTTCCGAATGGCCCTTAAACTGTGGCCAGCTAGCTCTCCTCTACTGCGAAGGGTGGATAAATGCAGTAGCTTTAGGTTAATAGCTTAATGGATACGTCAACCCTCCAAATTTCATAAGATTTGCAGACACATATTCTGATGCCAACATAATGTTTATAACACACACAGACTATAAGATTATTTAGATTAGCATAGATGAAACTTGGAAAGTACCTAGATTCAAGCATACGCCCGGTGGATTGGTGTTTTGTGGCTAAAAAACTGATGGCAGAGAAAGTTCAGGAGTAAATTATATATGTTTAGTTCCCGCATAAATCAAGAACTTTCTAAGTTTCGCCTATGCTATCCAGATGATCTTTTAGGTTCTCAATACCATGCTATGATGTAGAATTTCTTAAGTTTCACTTTCACTTGTGCTATCCGAACTATCTTTAGTGTCTGTATTTCGTGCAACCTAAGTAAGCAAAGCTTAAGGAGCAACCAAGTTTAAACTTTGAGTAAATTAGACTTTATCCCTTGAATTTTCTTAAAAATAATTTAGTCCCTCTGATTTCGAAAGCTATATATTTTTTCCTTGTATTTAACACAGTCCTTCCATGTCCATGTGTGCTTGTTTTTACAAATCTAGTGCTTTTGTTCTCTGAACGCACTTCTTCTTTCTCGGTCAAATTTTCTGAAACCTTAACAACAAGAAGATAAAAATGGATTGGTGCCAGCTCTACGTAGCAAGCCATACTACTTTTAATGTAAAAAATAAAGATGCTAAGATGATAATAATGTTTTTTTTAAATAAAAAAATAAAATTCAAGACTTAGTAATTGAATTAAATGAATTCAATAAACTTGGTTAATTTAATAATATAATAAAAAAATAAAATCAATAGATAAATCTAACAAATTTTTTTTGATAATAATTAACTACAAAAAGTAAATCATCAATATCATACCTGGAACAAGTGGACATAAAAACTTGTCGGAGACCCCTATTGCTTGGTGATGAACATGACCCCTATCACCAGATGAGTTTATTAAGGCGATTCTATTGTGAAAAACTGCATAATAACACCAAAAGATACAGCATGCATTACTAGAGCAATAACTTGAAAAATAAATCGAACAAAATATAATAAAATAAGCATCTCATGTTTATATTTAACTAATTAATTTAATTTAATTTAAAAATAAAATCTCTCTTTTTTAAAAAAAAAAGAAGAAGCTAAGTTTAACATCAAACAACAAATAAAAAGTTTGAGGATAATCTTGGTTATTTTTAAAAGGTCTTCATGAGCTTGACTATTTTTATTTAGTCAAGCCTTCTATATAACCGGACTTTAGAAAATTACTGATAAAATCTAAGTTCAATCCAATAGCTGGATTGAAAGATATGACTTTATAATGTTACTTCACTTATTTAGAATGACCAAACCTCCTCTTAAACCTAGTTTTATTTCACTGTTCCATAAATATATTTGTTAAGTTATCAAGCATGATGTGTTGGTAACAGATCCCCATCTAAATTTGATAATTTCTTACTCAACTACTCAAAATCTTCACTTGCTAATTTCATATAATAGGGTCTCCTATAGAACCAAGCCACAATAATCTCCTCGTAAATTTTGAGTTTGATCCACTAGTTGAATAAAAAATTATAGCTTTAACGATACTTAACTAGTCTAGTGTAACAAGATTTTTTTTGGACATAACTATGTCTTACTAGTTTATAAACACATCTATTAGATTACTTGTATAATTTTTTGGTATTAAATTTCCATTTAACTCTGACAAATCCTTACTCGATTACTTGAAACTCTCATTTTCTACTAAATTAACTATATCATAATGACATTTTTATGGAAAGATTTCAACAATCTCATAACTTGTGCTACTTGCATATTCTTGTCAATATTTTAATTTAAAATGAGAAAATCAACTGCAATTTATTCTAAAGAACAATTCCTTTATAAATTATAGTAATTTTCAGAATTTTATATATACATAAGCTAGTGGAGTGAAGGGGAAAAAAATTCACAATGATTCAACACTGAAATTATCTTTTAAGGTAGATTGGGGCTTATTTTGACACCTTCGATGGAACCACTATGAAAATTGGATGAAATCTTTTAATTGTCATTAAAATTGGATGAATGGAGGGATGATATTGTCCAATATCCATTAAGTCTAAGGTAAACTTGATAAAATCAAAAGATATGGGATTCTATTGATAATGGAGTAATCTGCAGCAATTGAGGTTTCTTCTTTCTTCTTTCTTCTTCTTTTTTTTCTTTTTTCTTTTTTATCTTTTTTATATGTTTTGTTTTTCTTCCACTTCATGTCTTGGTTTGTTATCAATTATCATCACTAATTGCTTCCCTTTTTAATTTTTTTGAACTACAGTCAAATTTAGAATCATGAGCAAGTCCTGACTCTTAGTCCAAGATGTCAAAGTTATTATTAGGCTTTGGTCTCCATTTTGAGTCTTAGTTATCCAGAAACAGGACAATGACTGAAAAAGTTCTTACAATCAACACTTTCTATCTAGCAGGAGCATGGGATAACAATCTGGTTTAAGCCTAGTGAAGAACATTGAATGCTGTCATCCATGAACCAGGCTGTCTTGTCCCAAGTAACATGGTGGTGCATCTATAAAGCTGGAAATTGGCTCATCTCATTTTCTCTGTGCTATCTCATCATGCACGTATGTAAGACGCTGGCAAATGTATTAAACCTAGCGGAATTAACGGCAGATCTATCCATGATCACTGTACTCCTCTATTTAAATATCCTTTGACTGCAAATGTAGTTTTAAGATTATATATTTATATACACATACATAATCTCACATTACACATGGTCATGGAGTTGTGAGGTTCGCATTATGATATATCAATGGCTGGACCACTAAGCCCAGGAACCATTTCAGATACTCTGCACGAGTCCACCTAAAAGTCTTAAACAGCTTTCTTATTTTTAACCACGTGAGTAGACTTTGAAGCTTTCAATCAAGAAAAGTATCTGTAATTCCGGAAAATCATTCAATGAAACAAGGGCTACATTAATTTCTCTGAATGTAGCTTGGATAGTCCTAACTGAAGCCTACCAAGCTATCAGATAGATAAGTGTAATGCTTTTTCAGCAGCTATCAAATTCTCACCATTATTTCATATATATATATATATATAGATATATCAACTAACCGGTCATTTACTAAAAGCTTACTTGGATTAAAGAAATAATAGTATCACAAGTTGATTATGAATTTTCAAAGAGCTCCTTTAACGACGCAGAGACTTCTACGACTCCTCCATGTGAGCTATGTCTCGGTTCCTGAGCTTCCTACGCTCAGATTCTCTCACTCTCTCTCTAGTATCATCAACATTTATGATGCATCCTCGAAGCTTCACATTTTCATCCAGTACTCTTCTCTTCTCTCTGCACCGATTCTGAGTGATCATTTCATTTCAAGTTCTCTTCTCGTCTGTTTTGTACTTTCTTTATTGTATACAGATGAATCTTCCTGCTCTCATGCAGCACAGTGCTCCCATTAATGCTCCTTTCTCTATTACTTTGTTAGTAATGTCTGTCTGTAGTGTTCTTAATTAATCTTTAATCCTTGACAATTTCATTTCTTGTTACCTTCTACTGGTACTTGCTTCTATTTGAATAAATATTTATATTTTCTTCTTCTTCTTTTTTATTATATAGAGAGTTATATACAGAGAGCTTCTTACGTGATATATTTTGTGTAAAGTTTGAAGGAATTGAAAGAAGAAAAAAATGGGATGCGGTGCTTCTATGCATCCACTTGGGGGGAGAGGGAAGAAAAGTGTACCAGAAGTGGTAGTGTATGTTCCTTCAATGAGAATACCAGCACACTCTGATCTTCAAAGGCCACTAAGAGGGTTAATTCCTCAAGATCTTGTTGATAGGTTGGCCTGCCTTCGCAATCAGATTGTGTTAGTGGCTGAGGATACAGGGCTGTGTTTCTCACCACCCTAATAATGTTTCTTATTTTTTGTGTTTTCTTTGGATGTGTAGAAATAGGGAAAG